GGGGGGGGGGGGGGGGGGGGAAGTGCCGCACCCCCAATCCGCGCACCAGCAAGGGCAGGTCCGCGCAGCAGTACGGGATTGGGAAAGACTGGCCAGGGTGGGGCGCCATAAAAAAGGTGGGGGGCGGGGTGGTGGCCCGGGACCCTAGAGTATGGTGAGCTTTGTCCCGGCATCCCCTTCTGCCTGAAGGAACAGGTCGAAAGTTGATTTGAGCAGGGACTGTTATGCCCTATAAGTCCTGAACCTACAACCACTTTGGGATCGGCCGTCAGATGCCTGTGCTGCCGGTGCAAGAAAAGCAAGCAGCTTGCTACGAAAGAGGCCCCTTTGGGGTTCGGGATGGCAGCGACCGACCTGCCGGACAGCACCTTGCGCCCTGCATCAAGTAGTAGCACGTCAATGTCCACCTCAGGTGCCAGCGGGCCGCCTTTCTGCACGACTTCTCGAAAGCATGGCAAGGATTCCAGCCAAAGTCTGCGGCACCCTCGTCTGTTCCTTTTGTCGACAGGAACACGGTCACCATTGCTACTCGCAGACAGAATCAAGAACCCTATTCCTGCACACCCGAGAGTGCTTCCATGGCGCATCTAAGGCCCAGCACAGCAGCGGAAGCACTGCTTCAAGGTCCATCCGAGGCACTTCGTGCGGAATGCCTGCAGGGCCGGTCCTACCCAAACCAATGTCGAATTACCTTTTTGATCCTGCTAAGTAATTGGAATGGCGCGCAGAGAAGTGCAGTGAAGCGTAAGCTGCATTCCGTCCATCCTGCACCTCGCCTTCCTGAATCTCTGGAGGTTCCGCAGCATCAGCTTCTTGTGTCAGCATAGCCGGCAGCGCTGCCACCGACTCCGACCTCAGCAAGCACAAGGCTCTTGGCAGCGCCGCTTGCTGATCTCGGGCACAAAAGAAAATGCGTCGGAGACAAACTATTGCGGTCAGGTGCTGCAGGAGTTCACAAACCTTCTCCGGCGAAGCAGACAGCCGGAAAACTTCGTTCATGGTCCACACGAAGGCCAAGGTTGTTTCCCTGTGCACAATTGAGGTTGGCAGATGCTGCAAGTCGACCATGATGTGCCTAGCCTTATGTCACCTGCTGAAGCTGCTTACCCTCATACTGTCTGCCATGCCTCCCATCCTCACCGGACCAGGAGGGGTATGCCGAGGAGGCGCCGACGATGCGGCCGGGAACCTCCAACTCTTGCACCTGGCTGGGATGCTAAGGCCGTCACCTCAAGTCTGCGCAACCTTCGCAGGCGCAAGAGCCAAAGTCAAAGGATAATGCCTCTTACTAGACTCTGTAGAGCGCCTGACCTGGAAGTCCTAGGCCGTGCCGGCTGAAGGGTCTTGCGTCCCAAGTGCGACAATGTTGACGGGCCCGCTGCGGGCTGCAAAGTACGGCTGTGGCTTAGCCGTCGTCAGCAGCACCTGAGATGCCATCGACACGTGATGAGTTGCTCGGATGTTGGCACCTGGCCGCATGTAGGGCCTGTAGGGTCTAAGTTGAGACATACTGGCCTCCGCCAGCAAGCGGACGACCGAGGGTGAAAACTCTGCAGGAAACAGCCGCTGCCAGAGAAACCAAGGCCCACAGCGAATTTGAACGTGTCGAAAGTACCTGACCTTCGAAAGGTTCCCAGATGATACTGAAAGACAAGACTCCGGGTTTCCGACCTCCTGAAAGCCACTCTCTGTCCAGGCAAAGGACCGTGAAAGTTTGCAAAAAAGGGGTTGCAGTTGCAGTGGGCCGATGAGGAAACACTAGATGCAACACCAACACTTGCGGCAACCAGCCGTCTCCGCTTGTCTGCCCCAGAAACTCTGCAGCCTCGTAACAAACAAGGCCTCAAGGCGGTGGCTCTGGAGATGCCGGAAATTCATTGGGAAGCCAACCCTGACAACTCAACCTGAGCAATACCTCCATGGCCTGGAATCTAGAAGCCCCATTGGCCTCGAAGCTTATGCCTTTGCCACGACGAAGCCTCAGCCTTCAATGTCCTTTGCTCACTACATGCTTCTACATGAATTGATTCGGCAAGGTTCAAGGCTCTTCGATTCGGCTCCGCCCAAGTGGAGAACCTTGGACTTCAGCCCCGGATAACATAAGTGCAAAGATGCGCACGTGAAAGTAGTGACTCTCTTTCCCTGCCACTGACGAACAGACAGGCGCATAGAAGGATAGACGGATACACGCTCCGATGTCCACATTCGTGCAGATGTCTGTGCATGCACGACCTTTTTATTACAACATATTGCCATTTAAATTTAAACGTGCTTTTATCATATTATAGAGAGAGAGAGAAAGAGAGAGTTCTGAAACATGCATGTAGGTATGCATGTATGTATGTATCTATGTACCTATGTACCCATGCACCTATGCACCTATGTATCTATGTATATTTGTATGTATCTATGTATGTATGTATGTATGTATGCATGCATTTATGTATGCAGCGCATGCATGTTTGAAGGTATATGTGTATACACAGAACAATATGGTCTCTTTCGATACAAAATAGACATATGCATAGATACTGAAATGTATGTATCCACAACTATCAGGCTAGCGACAGGGACCTGGGTACTAAATGATAACGTGCACAGAAAAATATCCTCTGAACACGCAGGCAGCTGCATACATGCAGCAAATATTGAGCAATAAACAGACGCAACAAGTCCTGAATACAGTCAGTCACTCCCTAGCATTGCCATCTTCATGGTCTCAGCATTAGTGTGTGCAGTTGCTTGGCTCCTCGCGCCTCACTTCTGTCACTTCCTGACATGCGAACCAGGCACCGACAGGAACAGGCCGCCGCCGAGAATAAGCACTAGATCCACCAGCCTCCGGCCTGGCAAGCTGGGGGATCTATGCCGCCGATTGGCCGAGATCCTAAGACCTCGACAAGTATGCCCGGTTCGATATGATGGTGTAATGGTGCCGGCCTACGTTTTTGGCACTCGAGCGCGCGCACTCAGGGTGAAGGGACTTGCTCTGCAAGGTGTCGAAGGCTTCTTGTTGCGTTCCGGCGGCCCTTTGAACTTACCCCTTAGCAATCGAAAGACGACACAGATTTGACCACGAAAACATCCAAAGACTCGCTTCCACCTCGCTACCGACAGCAATAGCAAGGTCCTCATCAGGATGATCATCATTATGATCACTGATGATGTGATGGCGCTCAGGGTGACCTGGTGTAAGGTGGGGTGGTGTCGTGTGATGTGATAAAGAAACAAACCTTGGTGGTGACAACGACAGCGATGATGATGATGATGATGGTGGTGGTGGTCGTGCTGGCAAAGTGGAGTTGACAATCATGAGACGGCCGTAGATGTGGCCGGTCAAGCTGGTTCGCCTCTTGATGCCGATAGATGATAGTGAGCATGCCGTGACGGTCGTGTGCGCTTGGCACTGACATGCACAGGCGCCTGCTGCGCTAGGTGGGGCTGCACTGATCGGCAAATCCACACGGGCCAGCGGATCCTGATTGGAAATCAAAGGCTTCAGTGACTTCAGTGCCAACACAATACCGGAAACAGACGGCCACGATTTTGTAGGAAGCCGTCGGAAATGTGGACACATGCAGAAGAGCAGGCTCCTCCGGGAAGGACGGCAATGAAAGAAGCATGCTCAGTTGGTGGTCTCCACCATCTGCAGGATCTGCCTCATCCACGAGCATTCCCAAGACTTCGTTCTCGCGTTCCAGCACCGCTTCACTTCGCCCCCGCTTCACAACCAGGAGCATGTACAGCGTTGGCATTCCAGTCCTCAGTGCTGCTATCAGAAGTACTCGTTGATGCTCCCGTTGGCAATGGTTAGTGTTCCGTTCAGATGACGACTACTCTTGCCACTGCTGTGAACGGTGGCATGCATACAGACGTTACAGACCTTGGTGTTGGCATTCGTGCTGTTGCTGCTGGGGTTGTCCTACAACTACCACTGCCATTACGACGATGACGACGACGATGACGACGTCGACGACGACTACTACCATTTTCTCTGGCATAGGCAGAACTGATGTTCCGCCCGTGCTTTGTCTCTTTCTGTTCTACTATTGTTAACATGATGCAGGTGCAGGAACGATGATGAGTTCGACTTTTGCAATTCAACGGCCTTGCAGCACCAGACTCCAGACTGTACGCAGTATCCTGCACGAACCCTCTCTCACTCTCATGGAGTCTCTATGCAAACCCTAGAAATTTGAAAGGAAACCCACCATCCCTGCCAGTTCTGTTGTTCCTGCATGTCTTACCATAAGGCCTGCGGCACTACTATCTCTAGTACTTATGCTCCAACTGTGGCGCTTCATCCCCTTTAGGCTGCTACAACGGCTTACGATGGTCCAAGGCTCAAGGGCTCGAGCTCGAAGTGCTCGCTGGAAGAGGTTGGGAGCGCCTTGACAGACTCCCAAAAGCTCCAGGGCCCCAGGGCTTTGAGGGTTCAGGGCATCACAGCTGGTCCAGAAAGAGAGAAGCTCTGTCAGGGTTCGGGGCTACAGCGCCTGGCCCTCGGTAATGGTCCACTCCAGTTTCCGCGGCTCTGCTCCGTCGCTGCTTTTCCAGGCAGGCCTCTCCTCTGTTGTGTCTGTTTTGGTTGGGATTTCTGGATAGGCCCGGCGTGGCGGATTTGGCCGGAAGGTGCAGATCTACTTGCATGAGCGAATTGGCACCCTTGGTTTGTCAGCGCCTGTTCATAAACTGCCCAGCCTAGCAAACCCGATCAACGGACACGTTTGTGGAGAGTTGCTAACAGGTTTACTGCTGTTTGCCATGGCTTCCAAAAAATCGTGTTGTGTCGAATGGACCGAACTACTGATGATAGTCAGCTTGGGCTTTAGAACTTTAGGAAGAGTAAACCGCAACGGGTACCGGGTACCAGAGCCGGCCCAGGTGCGATCGTGGTGGCCAGGAGAAGCTTCCAGTGCTTGGGCTCCGCAGTGGTCTCGATCAGCAGCCACTCTTGACAGTGGTATTTGCAGAGCTGGAGCCCTACGATGGGAGCCAAATTGAAATGCCGGACTTCCGTTTGACTGGCAACATCCACGATCGCAAGGCAGCCAGATAGGGAGCCAATGATCAGGTGATGCCTTATGAGCCGAATGCTGCTACATGATGCCTCATTCGAGTCCATGGCTTCTCCAGCAGGTTGCGATTCCCTGGCCCACCACTTCATGGACGTGATCGCATCACCATCACGGCAAACAGACGGGACCTGGCAGTTCCAGTCTCAGTTCGTGGCGCAGTGCCTACCGCAACTGGGAGGCCCCCAAAGTGCTTGGGCTCGAAACAAGCTCAAGGAAACCAAAAGCCCTAAGTTTCAAGTCCGTTTCAGTCTGCCTGAAAGCGGGAGGGGCCAGCAACCGGAAGACCAGGACCAATGCCTCCAAAGAAATCCGTCAGCATTTCCTGAGTGACACTCGGTGCCAGGGGGCGGGGGGGTTCGCTGTGTGCTGCAGCTAGGTCGACCACTGCTGGGCACAAGGGCTGCAAGGTTATGTGCAGGATTGCCAAGTCGTTCAGAATAGGGCAACAGGGTGAACGTCCCGAAATTTCTCCGGTCTTACTGGACTAGTTTAATTAGTTAGCCAACGAGAAGTCGACCGCCTTACCTTACCATATCAACCACTCCTTCAGCTGTACCTTCCCCTGCTGTGGCAAGTCATGCTTTTCTGTCGCATCCAGGGCTGTTCCTCACTATGGTCCGAGTGCACTCAGATCGAGCACAGCTAGCGGCTGCTAGCAGCTAACACAAACGCCTCTTCTTATGGCGAACTCCAAGCAAAGAACGAAACAGCTGTCCAGCAAGACACGGGTCCTCCAGAATGATCCCATCGAGCCTGTCACGCTGTTGCTCTAGGAGTTCACAGTCCCTGGCTTGGATCATGCTAAGACAGGCGTGCTCCAAGCGACCGTGGGTGCCGATGACCTGCCCGAGGAAAGACAAGGCATTGTCAGCACACAGCAGGCCCACCAGCTCACTCTCCGCCTTGTCCACCAGCCCAAGCAGGCCCCAGCGGTCAGCAAGGCCCCGAACCGCAAATGCGAACACCGTGTCGCCGTGTGCATCGAAGCAATCGGACATCAGGAATGTAAGGACCGAGCTCAAAGAGCGGTTGTCCACTTGTGGATCAGAGGTCAAGTCGATTTCACCCCTCCGTCCTTCCTTCCAGCGCGCTTCCGACATCATGTGCCTGAAGTGCGCGGAGCGGGCCATAAGCACACGCTTGTCGAAATGTAGGGGTGGCGAATTGCGTAGATGGAATGTCACAAAGGAAGGCTCTTGCGTCAAATCTACAGAAGAGACAGGGGCTTCAGCATGAAAGGTTGGGCAAGCAGATGAACCAGGCAGTGGCAATTTCGCCGACGCTTCTATTACGACCTCCCCATTCTCATTCAACCAGCCGGCTTCATCATCGAGACGCGACAATCGCAGAAAGTCTGGCCATCCAAAATTTTCCAACTCTCTGGTGAATGTATGCACGTCAAGGAATCTAGCACGACACTCTTTGCGAGTGCTGCTGCTTTGCCGTATGGCTGCGATCTCAAACTCCAGATCGGGGCACGACCAATTTGCTTCCTCGTCGTCTTCCTGGTCACGCGCTATCTGTAAATACGCACTCATGCTCTCATAGTCTCGTTCCTCGATGCCTTGCGGATATACACGCAAGCACATCTGAAAAGAGCCGTCGCAACCAACCCAGTCGGAGACCACACACTCGCCTACGTCGTAGCTTCTGCAATTTCGAACAGCCACATCAACCTTGTACCACGCCATGGCCTGTGGAGCGCTGACTGGGTCTGTACGTAAGCTCAGCCCAGACGCGAACGGAAGAGCTCAGAGCCGAATGGACTTGCGGGCTTCTTGGAGGCGAGTTGTTGGCTCTGACAGGCTTTCAGTGAACGAAAAATAGGTGTTTTGTGGGAGCCACATCGCTGAGCAGAACACCATCAACTATATTTCCGGCATCAGGTGGTGGCGCAAGGCAGAGACAAGCTCAAGTACCTGACCAAACCTGACCCGATGCAACAAGTATGGTATTCACATCCAGGCATTCTATCTGATTCTAACTGTGCATAGGGTGCAACATCTTCCAGTTTCTGGCCACTGTGAAAAAAGGATGCGTCCGTCCTGTTGCTCTTCAGAAACATCACGAGAAACCGATATCACAATCAAACTTCAAACCAACAGTCTCCCGACAAGACACTTGTCAAAGCGAGTGCTCAGCTGAGTTGAGTAAGCCGCTCTACTAAACACAATAAACCCACGACACATTGATAGCTAGCTCTGCCCAAGGATCACCGCCACCAAGACCCATGGAAGACCAAGCGCTTGCGACACTGGAAATGGCACCCTTGACGGGGTCCTGGTCGGACTCTCCAAGCACCCCATCTCAAAAGCTGGCTAAGGCAAGCATTCAATTCAATTTTTCCGATTTCTCTGTTGACTGCGCCTACCTCAACTAAAGTAGTTAATCGACCCGCACTTAGACAGTATACATACGAGCGGAACCTTGCACACATGCTCGGGCTGGAGTAGGGTGAGAGACACCACGTGTGACCTCTTCGAGCAACCACCGAGAGTAGACACCCAAAATCTCCATCCGCTGTGTTGGCTCGGCCAATTCTCACGCTTGCATGACTTGCATTGCCTGCACGCTCATGCATGCACAAACACACACTCTCTCTCCCTCTCTCTTACAAACACAAACTGACTAAGGCAGCAGTTCTCATTATTTTATCAACCAATCAAGTCCATCCGTCTACCAGCCAGACAGCCAGCGAGTCAACTAGTCTGTCAGCTACTCACTCACTCGGTCAATCAATCCACCAACCAAGCAGCCAGCCAACTAGCCAATCAACCAGCCAACCCAATCCAGACCAACCCAAGCCGCAGCAAAGCTCAAATCGAGTCAATCTTCCAAGTGAATCACTCAATGAAACCAAAGCGCACCACAGCCATTCAAAGCAATGCTCGCGCTAAACCCCTGAGTAGTTGCCTCTGCGGTGACTTCAACATTCAAACTCTTGCTTCAGAGCCAGTGGCCGGGCACCGATCATGACCTGTAGAACTCCCTTACACTCCCAAAACCTGCCCACGCCCTCAATTTTCTACGGTATTCTACGTGATGAAACCTTGGGATGCGTTGCCTCAGTTCGCTCGTCTCCTCTCCGACGATCGGAGGCTGCCTCTGTCCCAGGGTTGCGCGGCGATGAGACGGGATAAGTCTAGCTCAAGCTTGGACTCTTGGACATCTTTCTCACGACGGCCAGCGACGCTAACTACATTCACTTTACCCTCTGTCTCCGCAGCTCGCATATGCCGGAGTCCGACTCGGACAAAGCGCGTCCCCTCCTTTCCGAAACTTCGTGTTCCGGCGACGAGCTCCCAGCTCCAACTGCGAGAAACGAAGGGGGTTGCTGGGAGGATCAGTCGCCTAGTTACACGAAGCCTGTGGCGTCCTGTAGCGCAAGCACAAACACGGGGGCGCTCACTTCCACCACACCTGCGGCCTTGACTGACTGGGCGGGACGGAAGTTTAAGACCCCTATCGCCGATTCAGAGTGCAGGTAATCCGAAAGATTGCATGCGCTGCGACTGACACGGTGCGATCGAACAAAAGGAAACAATGACAGTTTCGCTGCTTGACATGAGAGCATTTCAGCTATCACGCCGTCACCGACTCGATTGCTGGCAGCCTCCTCTACCGCCCGGGTCTTTCGTCGACTGCTGGACATTTTCCCGGGCTAGCCTCGCACCCTGCACCTGCAAAACTCTGGTGAATTCATAGATGCTGAAGGTTCTGAACACTTTGCCTCTAACTAACTAGCGATTTCTCTGATGGCCTGCAGAAGCTCCAACAGGGGGGACTCACGAGGTCCGTTTGCTCCAAGAAGCCGAAGCCTCGCAAAAAGCATGCAATATGTGGTTGAAGGTTTAGGTGTTTGGACTCTCACGGCTGAGACTCGGACTGTCTATCTATATATATATATACACACACACACACACATATATATATATATGTAGGTATGTAGGTATGTAGCTATGTAGGTATGTAGGCAGGTAGCTAGCTAGGTAGGTAGGTAGGTAGGTAGGTATGTAGGTATGTAGGTATGTAGGTAGGTAGGTAGGTAGGTAGGTATGTATGTATGTATGTATGATAGGCTTCCATCTCATAGCATCGCCTCACATGTTGTTTACGAAGCGGACGATGATCAAATGATTGTCGGTCTGTCGTCCGACGGTGGAAACATGCATCGTGCCGTCGTCTATCCTTGGGCTGCCCAAGCTTAAAGCATCCATGCATGCTCCAAGCAACAATGGCCATACCACCAGGTCTGCCTGATCAGAACAAGGCACACGTGGGGATGTGGGAAGTGTTGACGACGGCAGGCAGGCCCAATTACAGGCTAGACGCTTCGCAGAGCCTGGTCCTAGTAGAACCCATCCTCAAGCCTACACGTATCAAGGTATTCACCTTCCGACTAGCTAGCACTTGCAGCTCAGCGGAACCATCGACAAGACTCTGCCAGAAGACTCTGCTCGTCCATATTGTGAGTAGGCAGTCTGGGGCCCAACCGTCAGGATCCCCAAGCAAGGGAACAAATCCAAAGAAAAAGTTTTGGAATGCCACATTCCTTGAACCTCAACTCGCTTTCGAACGAAAGGTGTATAGACAGGGCTGCAATTCACGCTTATGGCTTTTGAACGCCTCCGCGAATGTCAATTCGCTTTCAATCGAGATCCGAAACCCACCAATGGCCCCAGGCCCCCGCGAATGCCCGGACTCGACCGAGCTGGCTCTGTCGCGTCGTGTTGTATTTCCATATGGACAAAGGCAAAGCTCAGTCCGCACATCCCTTGTTCGGTGGCCCGTGTTGACGAACACCCGCCGATGCCTTTGGTTTCATACAGAGCTGACTAAAGAGCACGAAGCCACAACGACGGGCAAAAACCAATCAGAGATTGTCTCGGAGCGGAGTTCTTTCGCAACCTCCTACCCGTTCTTCAGGCCGGTTTCAATTTGTGGCCCAACAGTCAGAAACTTCACCGCCCTGCCTCGCAGGCCACTACCAAGTACTCCGCCTGACAGTTCGGATCTGTGGGTTCAGGGCGCCGAACGAGACGAACATGGCTTGCTTTCAGAGAAGCCAATGATGGGACAAGGGAAGGTGGGGGTCTTTGTTTCCCTTCGTCGAGAATGCACCTCAGCAACTTGGGGGCACAATGCATGGCTTCTGAGCAGGTGATATGGATTTTGCTTCGCGGTATTATCGCCTTTCTGACTACAAAAGCCGATGCTACCTTTTTTCGAAGTCAGGTCTCAGCTCCCCCAAAGGAAAATCCTTGTAATTCTCGTCGCCCCGGAACCCTGATAAAATTAAACACACAGACACACCAGGGTTCTGAGTCTGCGGGCAACCGTGGGCCGTCGCCTCCGGAGAGAGGTCAAGAGCTGTCATCCTTTCGAGCTCCTTCGGCTCCAGCTCGAGCTCATATCTCAGCTCCAAGGCTCTGAGTCAAAGGAGTGGACGAAGAATGGGAAGGGCTTATAAACTGACCTTGTCTGGCATGAACTAAACTTAACAATCAATGCTACGGCACTGGCTTCCCAGCTGCATTGTGCTATCTCTCATCGCCGCACATGGGCCAGCCCTCTGATCGGCGGGCAACGTGCTGCCAAGGCCCAACGGTCAAGCCCAACTTATGCTTTCCCTTCGGTCCGGGGCACGTGAAGTCTTCTGGCCCGCTCAACGCAGCACAGCGTGCGGCAAGCCGTCCGTCGCTTTGAGCCACGACGAGGACTTCCTGCCGCTTCTTGACCAAGCTCAGGATGGTTTCGGTAATTGAGACTGGGACCCTCATGAACCCAAGTTTAACCGCACACAGGGGGTGGGGAGGGGAGGCGTCTGTTCGCATGGCTGCCTTGCGGAATGGTCATCGGTTATGTACGATCGGTAGCTGGTTTGAACGACAATAAGGGGACACGCTGCATATGCCAGAGAGTCTACATCTTCAACAAGCCTGCAATCGTCTGCAATTCAGATTTGCTTTCCGAGCTGGCTCTGGGCTCACTTCTTCAGATGGGTGCCTCTCGAAAGGAGACTTAATTTGCGCCGAGCAGCATAAGCCTCGCAGCACTGCACAGCTGTGAAGAGAACCTTCCGGACGGATTTAAGAAGACACTCTGCGCCTGCTGCTAGCTTCGGGCCAGTCCCTATGGGCTACCACTAGGGGACTGACTCGCTTTGACAAAAACTCCGCCAATTCGGAGTCTCACCATGGTTTCAAACTGATTCAACTTGCAACTGTGCAGAAACCTACTGTATACCTTGGACAGAACGCCTTGCAACCCGAAGTGTATCTGAACTTCATCACGAAGCCCAGTGCTAGTTCTTCTGTTTGCCATGCCTGTCGTGCTACCTATGACATGCTCCGGCTGCAGCGCTACAGTCCGCAGCCTCTGCGCGTGCAGTGGCACCTGCATCCGAAGCGCGCCACAGACCGTCGAGGTGGCAAAGGTCCAGCATGGCAAAGTCGTTTGGCGATCTATACTGCTCGATCTCGAATGCTTGGGCTTCGAGATCTTGTGGAGGACTCTCTGATGCTTAGAAAGCCACAACGCTGCGCCCTACGAATCCCTACGAGTTGGGGGCTCAGTTTTTCGTAAAATACAACGTTGGCTCGGCTTTGGCTGGTTCGTGCCACCAACTTGTACTTTGGGCCGATTAGGGTCTCAATCACTTCTGCTAACTTGTTCCGAAAAATCCGTGCAA